CATGGTGAAGCAGGCTGTCCCCCTGCAGCCCATGGAGGAAGGATGAGGGGGCGTAGAGATTCCACCTGCAGCCCATGGAGGACCCCACGCCAGAGCAGGTGGAGACACCTGAAGGAGGCTGTGGCCCGTGGGCAGCCCGCGCTGGAGCAAGTTCCCCGCAGGACCTGTGGCCCCATGGGGGACCCACGCTGGAGCAGTCTGCTCCTGAAGGTCTGCACCCCGTGGAGGACCCACGCTGGAGCAGTTCGTGAAGGACTGTCTCCCGTGAGAGGGTCTCCATGTTGGAGCAGGGGAACGATGAGAGGAGTCCTCCCCCTGAGGATGAAGAAGCAGCAGAAACAACGTGTGATGAACTGACCGTAACCCCCACTCCCCGTCCGCCTGTGCTGCTGAGGGGATCGGAGGTTGAAGCCGGGAGTGAAGTTGAGCCCGGGAAGATGGGAGGGGTGGGGAGAGGTGTTTTAAGATTTGGTTTTATTTCTCATTCCTCTACTCTGTTTTGCTTAGTAATAAATAAAATGAATTCCCTAAGTTCGGTCTGTTTTGCCTGTGATGATAATTAGAGAATGATCTCTCCCTGTCCTTATTTCGACCCATAAGTTTTTTTTTAGTTATACCTTTTCTCCCCTGTCTAGAGAAGGAGGAGAGTGATAGAGCAGCTCTGGTGGGCACCTGGCCCTCAGCCAGGGTCAACCCACCACAGCCCTACAGGATGCTCTAATGCTGAGGATTCCCACATGACCCAAAGCTCTGGTACCACAGCATTTTTTCCCCTCAATCTCAGGCTATTCAGTTAGCCTGGCTTTTCTCCAACAGCTCCTCATGTTCTTGATCATCCACTGGCCAGTGCACACTCTTACTGACCTTGTCAGTGGCACAACTGCATGAGTAACCAAAGGGAAAGTACATATTTATGTATCCAAAAAACATATATCACAGCCATGAGAAAGGATGACACTCTGTTTAGACAAAAGCACCTTCAAAAATATGATGAATTTGTGAGTGGATGGGTGCTATACTGTTTTTCCTGCTTATGTGGAGCATGGGACATGGAAAAAAGCAAAAGTCATGACAATGACAAGTCTAACATCCACTTGCTAAGGTGAGTTCTGAAAACTGCACAAAAGTTTTGCTCAAGAAGTTCAGCCAGTTCAGAGCCTAAAGTAGCCTGTGCTTTCTCTTTTACCACTGTTGTTATTAACTGTGGCACCAAAATTTAATAACAATGATGATCAAGTGAAGTAAACAAAATATACTTATAGATTTGCATCCATGTTCTAAATAAGTCTGAAAAATAATATGCATACTAGCTGAGTACTTAACAGAAACTTACATTTTTAAAAGAACATTAACACTTTGATTTTTCTTATGCTTATAGAGGAGTCAGAGCAGATGATAGAAAGCTTCAACTGGCCTTTTTGAATATCCTTGATCCTAGTAAGATTGTCACGGTTTATGTCTTCTGTTGAGATAAATAAACCAATTAATAAAATGCAAATTAATTCAAAGAACTTACTATTTTCACTTTCTGACTTGGCATTTGCTTTCGGGTACACACGATTTGCAATTGCAAGCAATTTAGCAGGCCGTGAATACCCAAGAGAATCATAATTGCTTGGTTTAAAAGGCTCTCTCCCTGCCGCGACTACAGCTCCAGAGCACAATATCAGGGCCTGAAGATTAGGAACCTGGGGAGAAAAAAAAAAAAAGTAACATTAAATTCTGTGCCTTAGTAACAGCAAAAAATAATGTGAGAGATTTATCCCTTTCATGCTTTAATATCTTCACTTCTTAGTCTCTACATTAGTTTGCAGCAGGCTATTAAATATGTATCATCGCACAGAATTAATTTTTCAGTTCCTGTAAGGCAATTCCTATCTCTGTGAGGGTATGTCTTGTTATATAAATATATTAGAAAAAGACTTCAAGAGGCAACTTGGATCCAGATCAAAATTTTCATATAATTTAAGTGTTTGCATATTTAATTTTGTTTCATCATTGCACAGCGACTGTTCATAGCCATGAAATAAGAATATGCATTTGGAGGTAGATATACATATGAACATGTATTTGGAGGAAGAAAGGAGAAATTCAGAATACACCATGAGTACTTGACCTGTACTACCACACAGGAATAGGACAGAATCACAGAGCAGTATAGGTTGGAAAAGACCTCTGGAGGTCACGTAGTCTAACCCTCTACTCAAAGCAGGTCTGACTGGATCAAGATGCTCAGAACCTTGTCCAACAGTTTTGAATTTATGTTCCAAAATATATTGCACGATAAGGCTTACAAACAGCACTTCACTGGTATTACATATAATGACTTATACACTGGTATTACATATTATGAATATTACATATTCATATTACAGGTGATATGGAAAATTTCCCAACCTATTACAGAATTCCACCAAATGGAGATTGGAACACAAGATTTCCCTTGAACTCTTGGAGCTCTGCATCGAATTACCTGTCTAGATATGCGTTAGGTATAATCACAAGTGCTTTTCTGTGGTTAAACAACACACAGATAAAACAGTGAGATAAAATTATTTAAAACAGCATGTGGGATGAAAATCAGGATTATTAGTGCTGCATTATCTGGGTTTAGAGGTACAAAACCTGGTCCATGGTTTGAAAACTATAATAGACAACCAGGTGTCACAGTTCTAAGTTATTAATGGCAAACCACTCTGCATTTGTGTAATGATAAAATATGTGTGGCTATTAGAAGCTACTTACACATTTTTAAAACATTAAAAATCACAGACAAACAGCATGAAGACTCAAGGAAATTTCTGTGTAAATGGTTAAAATATAGAATTGAAAGCATGCCTGAAACAGGCCTGAGTAAGAAAAAGAAAAGTATTTTTTCATGATGACTTAAAGTAAAATGTCCTCACTTGCTTCTCTCTGATCACAAGATTCCAGTATATTTCCTCCAAGCTAGTAGCCTTTCTGAAGGTGAAAAGGCATAGAAGGGAAACGACTGAAATTCAACACATCAGATCTTACACCAGGCCAACGTCCCAAGCTTATAATTGAAAAAAATCACCTTTTTAATTAAAAATAATCTAGAAACAATCACAGAAAAATTGCCGGTACTCATCTTTATTCTCACCTTTCTGCCATCAGTGGTATATAGTTTCACAACTGGGTATTGCATTAACTCACTCATATAATCCAGAAAGGCCTCAAAGGTTTGTGTATTTTTCTTTCCCAGAACTACGGTGCGCCTGAGTCTTACATCCCCATTTTTGTAAACAAGCATCTTTTTGGGAGTTGTTATTTTGCTTTCTCGATGGCCAAATCCATCTTCATTCTCCCTTGCTAATTGCACAGCTCGACGGCGAGCGCTGACGGGCCTACTGATCTGCCAGGGCAGCGGCTTTTTGCTAGCCTGTTCCAGGTTGATGGGCTTCATTTTCCTCTGATGGGAGCAAATATAAGATTTTCCATCTTCAAGATCCTCCAAATTGGTGATGCTGTGTCTCCCTTTTGGTGTACTAATATTCCTTACTCCAAAGGGTAATGGGACCCGTTTGGATAAACTATCCAGCAAGGCATCAAATGTTTTGTAAGACCGGTTGTTGATGACCATTTTGATCCCATTAAACTGAGGATCTCCACTTTTATAGAAACAGATCCGTTTTGCCACAACAGGTTCAGTAACATTGAAATGGCGCGTGGATAAACTCTGTTCACTCTCGGAGGAGTTTGGCTGATTCACCGAGTAACTAGTTGAAGGTGTTTCACTCATTTTGACAGCAATCTGGAAGAAAGAGGAGATGGATGTAAAATTTTTCTTATGACTAGTAATAATACAGTCTTCGCTTTGAAAGGTGCAGAAAGAGAATTTATAAGAAACCAACAGCAGCAAGTTGTGCCAAAAATTTTTGGATTTAAATGGATCCAAGCTGTTATCTCTAAATTCCACAAAGACTCCAGTACTGTCGGATTAAGTTAGCATAACTCTACTTGCAAATATTCCCAAAACTCTCCAATGCAATATCAAACCTCTTATTATTTTTGTACAAGAGACCTTTCCTTAGAGGAAGGTACTTTGTCAGTCCAGAATGATAACTAGATGTTTTCTTTCTTGAAAATGCAGATAATGACAACGTTTCATATTTAAGATATTAGCAAAATTCTTATTAGGAGAGAGCAACTTGTGCCTAGGCATGAGCCATATTCAGTTCAAAATAACAAAACTGAAAGACAATACAATTCATTCTGATCTCATGTACTGGTTTTATACCAGGGCAAATCCACTGGAATCAGAAAAAAGGCTCCTGATTTACTTCACTGTAAACCATAGCAGAATAAGGCCCAAAACATGTTTTAGAGTTAAGTTGCATCATAGATGGACAGATCATTTGCTTTTCTATTATAAGTTTTATATTTCATGATACATAAACCACTACAACATTTGCATTTATATTGAGAGGAAAAAAACTACTGATCAAATAAGACCTTTTTAATAAGAGAAAAGTCTTTAAATCCTTTCAAAAGACACAAAAATGTCAGGTATTCTTCGATAGAAGTAGCCTTTAAATTGAAACATTTAAATACCCGTCTTTTAAACAATAGATTATTTCTGACAACCATACCCATAGTCATCATGCTTGAAAATAGAGCACTCTCACTACAATCTCCATCTGAATCCAAGCTACACACAGATACTGTAATGACAACCCTTTAAATGAATAAAATCACTTTATCTTAATGATTGGCTTGCTTTGACTGGAACACAGGGTAGAAATGGCTAGTCAACTCTAATCAGCCTCAAGGAAGCAGTTTTAGTAGAGTTCTACTGAAAAGCCTTGTAGTAGTCTAAGGGAACATGTTTGTCATCAAAATATTATAAATTAAACTCTTTGACAATGTCACCTTGATGTAGCTGCCATATTGACTAATGGAACAATCTCTTCTGGCTGCTACATATTTTTCTTAATGAAACTATGGAAAACAATATTTTGACTATGTTACTACTATACATCAGTTCTGAAACTGATAAGAAAACATTGCTATTTTTCAAAACAGTCAAGGTTCAAATAAAGTCAAATTTGACAAGATTTTATCTTACTGTGTTCTTACAGCTTTTCCAATAATGCACTGGTTTCAGTTTGCATGTTTTTTCCTTCACTAAGAGTTAATAATTTTGTTATTTTGAACAATGATCAGAGCATAGGAAGAAATGTCACCTTTTAATACATTATTTATGCTGTAGCTAAAACTGAAAAATAACCAAACAACAGGACTGCACTAGAATGATGTACACACGAAGATTGATTTAGGTAATCACAATTCCATTTAAAATAAAATTTTTAAAAATTTAAATATTTTTAAAATTAACTGTATGCATTTAATTCAGGAATATGCAGGACAAAAGTTTTCAAACCTGGCTGCAGCAATTTATATAACCCAGTCCATGATGGCTAGTGAAATGGCTTACTTTCTGTGGCAGGGAGGAGCTCCAGTTCAACTGAAATCAGTGACAGTTATAGTTGCTCATCTTTTTTGACACATCTATTCATTAGCTGCCTAAATTTTCATTATACTTCTAAACTGAGCAGTTGACAGGTGAATTAAGACTAGGGACACAATCTGAACCAGCCATTTTATGCTTCGTGCGTCATTCTGTTTATATTGATATTCTTAGAGGAAATCCATAAATGCATTTTTATTGCTAGCTGCAACACAAACTTTCCTACTCTCTTTGCAGAGCAGATGTTCTACTCCAATGAAAGTAGCAATGACAGTAGTAAAGTTCTTGAGTGAACTGAATGTCATGTTACCCCATTTAACTGACCAAGAAGACCTGGGCTTGCTAACAGAGTCCAGTCCAGGATCTCCGGGGAAGAGGAGAAAATAGTTAAGATATCATCAATAATGAGCAGAGACAGAAATGAATGGACATAGCTCCTCAGCTACTCTGTACTATGACTTCTCACCCTTTATGAAAATGGAGTGGAATTTCATCTAAATGCATGATTATTCACTCTTACAAAATAGGTGGATTTTCTCATGAGACTACTGATGATAATCGCTTTTAAATTAGCCTCTCAGAAGCTGTTCTGGATATTTGTACTTGTGTAAAACATTCAGCTATGTAAGCATCAACATTTGAAAGAGAAATACAATACATTTTACATAAAGATAATGATTAGACTGAGTCTTGACACTGTGGAAGTAGTGAAATCCAAAATAAAGAGAGAATACACATATAAAGAAAAAAGACAGTTTTCATTGTAAACAGGAAATAATTTGAATTCACAAAAGTAACTTAGAAAAAGATTATTTCCTTAGCAAAACATAAAATGAATTATAAAACAGATAGTTTTGGCAGAGAACTGATAGTTGCATAGCACACCACGTAGAAAAGAACTGATGGTTGCATAGCACACCATGTATGAATACATTCTAGTATTAATTTTAATAGTGGAAATTGCTTATGCATCTTTCAGATACCTTATAAATGCATCTTACAAATAGCAAATATTTCAACAAATGAATAAGCAACATATTTGGAAGTTACTATTTCATACTACAGGTTATCACACTGTAATAGCTTCATTTCATCTTAAACATAGTATTGATTTTCATACTTAAATGATTTTATTCTAAAATTAAGAAATAGCTGATATTATATGATACAGAATGTCTATTAAAATATTTTGGCAATTATAATGTTAAGAATTTTATTCTGCAAGAAAATCAAACAGATTTCAGAATTGAATTCCTTTGCCTGCATTCTGATAAAAAAAAACCCCACTCATTCACGTTTTATGCACAAAGCTGTTAAATTTTATAAAGCCACTAAGTGGAACACTTTGTTCTAAATATATAAGAATATGTCTAATGTCACATAGCTGGTAAATATTGCAAATAATTTCATCATACTCACCCACAGTCACATCCTATGTAAATAAAAGGTTAGCTTGTTTTCAGAGATTTATAAATTGTACATGTGATTGTCTATGCCATATGAAATGAACATCCTCAGTCTTATTCCAAGCATGCTCAGCTAGAAAAGACATCATAATCCATTTGCTTAATCTGAGCTAATGTTAATCACCAGACCAGGTTCACCTCAGGTAGCCATTGTTCAGAGCATTGTCTAATATTTCATTCAGCAAGTCCTCTTATATTATTTTTAAACTCTACTTACCTTTTTAAAATTTCATTTATATAATTTTCTGTTTATTTAGATTGCTCAGGAGACTCACAGAACCACATAAAATAAAAATGTGGCTGGGGAACGTAGGTCATTTAATCTATCTTGTTATCAGTACAGGGTTATCCTCCAAACTAAATTCTTTAGTGATATAAACTTTAAATATGCTAAAATGGAACTTCTACTACTCACTTTCTAAGACTATTTATTAACTATCTCCTGGCATTAATTCTTGCTTTTGTTCAATCATTTAGTCAAGATGATCCTCCTTGTGCTGAAGATTCTCCCATATTTTCTCAATTCAGATATCACAGTGAAAACAGTTTCACAGTTTCTTTCACAACAATCAATAAAACACAACAGTGTGAAGGAGTTTTGTCATCCATGAGATATTCTTCATTTCAACATGTTGGAAAAAGAGCAATGCAACAATTATAAATGTATGATATGGTTTATGAAGAGACAGGATTACTTCTAACTGTAGCTTAGCTATACCACAGAATGTGGTTTTTTTCTTGTTCCAACGGAAATAACTATGTCCCCGGATGGTAACTGTTCCATCTAATTGCTACCAGATGTATAATCTGATTTGGAGCTTCTTTGCTTAATCGGGATTACAGCAAGCTCTTGAAAGTGGCTGTGTAGAATGGTAAGAAAAACACTGCTCAGTAGACACTACCACTGCATGCCAGAATGACTTTTTCACTATTTTCCCTAGAAGAGAGTTAAACATTTGTAGAAGGTTTAAAGTATCATTTCAGTTCCACTTTCGTAAGATGCATAGGCACAATCATTAAATGATAATTTTGCACAGATATTTTGCTATAAACATTGCTTTCTTAAATATTACATTAATATAATTATTTAGGTCCTTAATCTATTTTAGCTAATGTAGTGCTTTTATTCCAGTCAGTATTCTGTGGTTTACACTTGTTCAGAAGATGAACAAGTCCAAATTCTATATGCTATTCTGATGTCTTATAACTTAACCATTTATACAGGACTTTGTATACAATGAATTTTCTTTGAAGTGCAGGATTTAAAATATCATTGCTACCCTCATTAGCTTTCCAGTGCACCCAAAGCCACTTTCGATAACCAGCTAATCCATCTGTAGCTTCCATGTAGCCCTAGAATTTGAGACCCAAGGGATGTCCTTCTGGAGGTCTCTAAGAGACTCCTTCTGGGACCTGGTGAAGATGATAAAGAAGTGTCACCATTTGACAGTGTGGCTGCCCCCTAATTCTCTAAGACTTCAAAAGGCTTACAAAGCTTCTGTCCAGGCATATGTAACTTAAAAGTTCTACTGCATTCCTTCTTGTACTACAAACATTCCATATATTCTGAAAAGATAGAAGAAATCATCAACTTTATAGTAAAAATCACATTGATAGGAATTATGTTTAATTCAGACTTAAAGCTAACAAGCCACAAAAAAAATTATCACAGTCCTATAGCAATCAATATCAACACAAAAGCACTTTTCATCCATTCATGTGAGCAGTTTGTTTAGTATCAGAACTGAGAACTGAAGATGTGCTGAAGATAAACAGGCACGTAATTTAAAAATGAGAATGACAGCAACCCAGAATATTGTAATCCTGCTTGCAATTAAAATAGGACCCTCTTGGTCCTATTTTTTTGTAAGGGTTATTGACTGGTCAATAAGTAAAATTATGACCATATCACTGTGAGGCAGTCGCTAACTTCAGTTCTTGTCTCTCACTGAAAAGAAAAGAGAAAAGCTCTCTTTTGATGGTGAACACAGGGACAGATAAATACAAAGGATCTACTCTAATGACCACAGGCATCAGTGGCAGTTTCCCTTTCAATTCCAAAGAGTGTCCTGTAGGAAGACCGCAGCATAGAGATGGCCAGCTGAAGGTCCAGTGCCTGCGGTTAGCCTGCACCACCATTCCATACAGCAAAAGGCCTAGGTCAAGCACCATAAGCAAATACTTGGCTTGCAGTCCCTGGGCTGAACCAAAGCTCAAGTGGAAGCTTTCAAAGTCAAGAGAAAGTTTCTAACTGGCTCCAAAATTCTTTGTATCAGCCCAAAAAAATACAGCATCAAAATAATTGTAAAAAAATTTTTTTCATTACTCTTTCTAATTTTGATTAATAACTACTCCTTTTCTATGGACTTCACTTTAGTAACTGAACTGATTAAATGCTACAAGTACCTAAATATAACCCAACACTTTCCACCTCATTCTATGAGTCTTTAGCGTTTCAGCATCATATCCAGGAAACTGATGCCCAAGAAAGAAAAAATATTTTAGCAATTACATTATCATATTTGCAGATATATTCTTTTTTCCTCAGCAGATAACCAGCATCCCAGGTTGAGAAACATAAGCAGCCTTTTCTGCAGCATTGTCCTGAGTCAGAGCAGGGTCAGAACCGTGTGCGATGTGGCCCTCCCTGCCTGGCAATCCTATGGCCCTTGAATGACACCCTTTGTTTAAGTCGGCGCCACATGGAACAGCAGCTAACGCTTGACTATTTTTATCATTCAAGTGTGAGTCATTTCTTTAAATCAGTCACTTGCTACACCATTACTGTTGACCTCATGCCCCAAGAAAATGCTGATAATGTGCCTTATATTTCCAAGTCCCTTCAACCTCTTATACATCTGCTTTTTTTTTTTTTTTTTTTTTTTTTAATTGGACTGTTCAGTAAGGTATGGAACTAGGAAACTGTTATCAAGCTAAAAAGGAAATTATCACATTAGAAGCAGGGGCCTGGGTCAAGTTCCCTTCAGTGTGCCCAGCCTGTTTACATCCTTTCCAGTAAAGCCTTCCAAAAAATGTGCCACTATTAATATGTTACTACTGATAAGATTTTGAGCCATTGCATTACAACAGCATTTTAGCGTTTGATATACATGAACTTCTTATCAAGTTAATCCCCACAGACTTTTATTCATTAAATTCTCCAGCATAGATTTGATAACCAACAGCTGGGGATGCAGAATGAGAAGAAAGAAAAAGTATGCCTCTGGGGAAGAAAACAAAACAAAACCAGAGCCCTGCTTTTAAGAGAGCTCTGCCTGGATGGTTAGATGGACTGTGAAAGTCCTGTTTGAGCTGTTCTGGTTTCTGACCACCACTAAATTTAACTCAAATCTGAACACCTGTTTGCGTTCAGAAGATAGCTTCCTGTGCAAAATTTCTGGCCTGCTAGAAGTACAACTTGACCCATCATCTTTAAGTGGGTTAGAATTTCATTCTGGAGTGTACGGCTTGTCTCAGAGTTAAATGCATAATCATTCTCAGCTTAGTTTTCCTTATTTTCTTGCCTCAGGTGTATTTAACTATCTATACTTACCTTCTGTTCTGTAAGATACACTAGCTGAAGGGAAGGGTCAGCCATATTTTCATTTTTTCTGAGTATGGGCATCTGAAAAGAGAGACATCCTAGACTACATTTTGCTTTGTTTGTATTACATCTACATAATTCACTGCAGTGATATGTAAATGCTTTAAAAGCATCTAGAATTCTTTAAACTGGAAAAAGAATGACTAGAAATTTCCCCCTATCCCTAGTTTTCTTCTCTGACAACATTTAAAAAATTTCTTTTCTCCCTTGAATATTTGCCTTCATGACCCTCCCAGCCCTTTCACCAAATTAATAATGCAGCCACCTGTACTGACCTTAATACACAATGATTTGTAAAAACCAGGTATGTTACAACTAACTGCAGATCTAATTGGTGCTGTCAGCTTATTAAAGATTGACTTCTTCCTGTATTATTTAGAAAATTCCTGTGTGGACCTTAATGTTTTACTGAAAATTTCACTTGTTAAGACAGCTAGGGTTGTCATACATTCTTCTTTTATACTCTTTTAACTTCCTTGTATTTCTTACGAATCTGTTCATTTATAACTATAATTCTTTGCATCTCCCAAAGAGCACAGTCAAAGAAAAGGATTAAGCAGGCAGCACATGAGTTCCCTGGCCAAGCTGTTATCAGCGTACCTTGAAATTTAACCCCACGTGCCTCGGTTTGTCTATCTATCTGAAATTCTGTGCAATGACCTTGCCAACTGTCCTATTGCACAGAGACATTGTGAAGTATAAGCTAAAGAAACATCATGAAGCTCCAGCAGCATAAGTGAATGAGGGACAGATCTTTTGGTTCCTCCTGGAGGACATCATAAAATCCTTTGCTGGGGTCTGGTGTTATTTCCCTGGGGTCTGGTGTTATTTCCCTGATGGAGTTCAGAGGCTGCTTTTAGAGAGAGTGAGTTCATAAATTGAGGCCAAGAAGGGAAAAAGACAAGGCTTAGACATATTCTACAGCTTTGCCTCCTACAAACACTTTAAAGTCTTTGATCAAAATTTACATCTTCAAACACTTGCTCTGATCTGCTGCCTACTCCTGTAGGTACCCAGGCTCCCGAGGGTCCTAAATTGCTAACAGTAAGCTTTGCTGCTGGGCACGTGTACAACCATTCCAGCTCCGACAACACTAAGCTGCTTAATGTCTTAGCTTTGGTGCAATGCACAGCTCGTCACTGCTTTGCCCATCTCACCTGAAGAAACCTGACCGTCCCCTCTTACAGCCCAGGCAGCAAGCTGTTGCTGTCCTCCATTCCTCCGGCTAGTAGTTCAAGAGCTCTCTTACCACTCCAGAGGTCCAGTTCACTGCCTGATGTAGAGCAAGGATTTAAGTCCATATAACTTAACTTTCAAGACAGTGAACTAGCTCAATGCTCCTTCTCCTATCTAGGCTTTATGTAAGAAAAGACTGATCTGCGTACAACCTCTAGTTCATAGTTACAAATGACCAGTGGCGAGACACACCTAAC